TATGCGTACTGGTAGTGTTCACATACATGTACGAACATGTGTACATATACTGTACTTCATTTGTACGGTACACATGTACCTTTACATGCACATCCACAAATACATGTACATGTGCATATACGTACATTGTAGGGGTTGAAATTCTCACCAACTACTGTTAAACTGTTAGACACTACTGTATGTGAACCACAATGAGTTGTGGCCAAAGATGAGCACAGAGAGTCAATTCTAAAAAAAGAAGCACCCGTGTTCAAATTTAAAGTACCTGTACATGTTTGTGTGGTGGTCTGCCCAATGGTGGGGGGGAACAATTTTTAAAGTAAGGGACCATTTGTGACCATCATTCATCAGCCAATAAAGGCCCTACCAAAGTGGGGGGAAGGGAGGGGAGCATTAGCCCCTCCCCAAACAGGTGGGAGGGGAGGCTAGTGGCTCTCCTTCCCTCCCTCCCTCCCCCAGGGTAAGCTACCGTAATGGTTCTACCATACATGTACCTCACTGACTTTCGGGACAAGGGTTTACATGTACCGGTACAAGTATGTCCTCTACTTAAAGGAGGCTGGGAGTCCACCTAATGTTTGGTTCTAATCAGAGATTTATTCCCTTACTCCTATGGATAGAAAAAAGTAACCAAAAATGTACAAAGAGAAAAACTGGAAGGAAAAGTTATTTTTTGGCCTTATCATTGGGCATGCATATCAGCTCCCATTATCTTACTTGTAACACCTTGAAATATGTTTTTGAGAGCAATTTTTAAACTGAATAACTTAATTTTCCTTATTTTGAATATTCGGCACAGCCTTATACACATCAGTATGTATACATGTAAAAAAGGTGCACAATTTTTACTCGCATGTTACAGCTGTAACAAATAAGGAACAACTTCAACAACTTCAAAAGATTGCAAACAATTGCTGCATTTAAATTACAAGTATCCTGTGTAAAAACGAACTGTAAAACATGGAAAGTGGTTGACAGTACATGTAGGTGGAAATTTCAAAATTTATGTTAAAAACAGAGACTGCATCCGGGTTACTTTGAATTTAATATTTTTAATCTGATGATTGAAACAGAAAGCAATCAAGAAATTAAAAGGGTCATACATGTTCATTTATTGTGATATAAACCTACATGTATACATGTACATGTACAGTTTGAGTTGTATACGACTGGTACAAATTTTTGCAATGACAAACCAAAGCTGTGTAATAAGTTGAAACCAATCAGAAACCAATCCAATATTTGTGTGAAAAGACACATTTTTCCCCAACCCCTTATGTGTCAGGCCAAACACAGCCCACATGTCCTGAGAAAGTGGGGAGCGGTTGCTTACAATGCCACAGGAATGCCATACCATTTCACACATTTTCCACTTCATTTGGCACATCTAACCTTGCTTGACGTTCTATTGTAAAGCCAGCGGCTTTTTGCGGAAAGAGGCGCCCCTATTGCGCATGCAACAATGATAGTGTCAGGTGTATTAAAAATGCCACACGTGACTACACTCAGCAACAACAAAAAGTGGATTCACCGGAATCGCTGCAAAGCAAAAGTGACAATGTGGATAGTATTGCATTTTCTTATCGCACAATCTGACCGAGTTTTGCCACTGGGCAGACTCGTAGGTCATGGGGTCACTGAACAGTCAAGTAGGGTGGAAGTTACAAGCACACACACATGCACTGGACAGCAAAAGAAACTTGCCACTTCTGTCAAAGGCCACACACAGAAATTCACTCCATAGAAATAAACAATTTTTGTACACAGGTATGCTGCAATACCCCTTACTAATCACATGCCCAAAAGCAAGAGATTATCTTTATAACAAAGAAGAACTTGACATGCACAACAACTTGGTTACTAAATCAAACGCCACACAAAAGCACTCTCCACCAAGCAAAAACGACCCATGAATGGACAACATTTTAAACAACCAATGGCAAAGTGAACATCTGTTTTGTCAAAATGATGTGCATGAGTGGTTTCTGTGTAGAGATGCCATCCTTACTGACTTTTTTATTTCGTCCAGTGACATTGATTTCTGTGTAAAACTTAAGGCTCATTCTGTTACATTCTGTGACTTTTGATTCAGTAACCAAGTTGCTGAGCATGTCAATTTCTTCTTTGTTATAAAGACAATCTCTTGCTTTTGAGCATGTGATAAGTAAGGGGTACTGCAGCATACCTGTGTACAAAAATTGTTTATGAATATTTATGTGTGGCCTTTGACAGAAGTGGCAAGTTTCTTTTGCTGTCCACTGTACATGTACATACATGTATGTAACAACGCTGAAAATATAGTGCTTCATACCAAAGTTTCAAAACCTACATTGCACACTTACAGGTACGTGTACATGTAGGTCTAAAAATTTGTTGTTTGAGGGGTCAGGCAATATTTCTTACCTCCATGAAACTAAATGTAGTCCTATGCCAGAATTCTACACCCAAGTCAATTTAGAAAAGGGTTGATGACTTGATGTTTGCCCAAAAATTAACCCCTTCGCGCCGGGAGGCGGCTAGACACGCCGTAAAAATTGAGATCCCTCAGCCCGCTTTTCAGCTATTATTCTCGGCCCACGCTCGAGTGAACATGGTGAAACAAGGCAGACCCTGGCTCTTGTGTATATGGTAATTGGTCTTTGTGTCTAGCCCAGAAATTAAAAGACCGAATTTGCATCATAATCACCAGCTTCACTATAGTCCCCACTTTGAAAAGAGGCAACGGGAATGTAGAAGTGTGAGTAGAGCCGCATGCCACAATCAGCCTTTTCACAATGTAATTCAAAGCGTGCAGAGCAAGCAGGGCCACAAACCGAGAATTTGCGGTTTGGCAGGAGGCCTTCGTAGCCAAGCGAGGCTGGAACTCTTGGAGTCGGCTTTCCAGAAGAAATTCCCGTCGTCAAGGGGTCAAGGACTCTAAACCTATGACAATCCCCAAGCTTATGGCTACGAAAACATGCAAATTAGGAAAAGAAGCTGACACCTGTCAGACACTCGTTTATTACCACATCAGTTAACTGGATACCAAGTGGATTATGTCATGTCTGGTACCTTGTCTCTATTTTTACACTTTCTGTCTGGATATGTCACCAGACTAATGAATGGTCAATCTTTTTCAAAGTTTTGTCTCGGACTTCAAATTAAAATCANGAGCATGTCAATTTCTTCTTTGTTATAAAGACAATCTCTTGCTTTTGGGCATGTGATACTAGGGGGTACTGCAGCATACCTGTGTACAAAAATTGTTTATGAATATTTATGTGTGGCCTTTGACAGAAGTGGCAAGTTTCTTTTGCTGTCCACTGTACATACATGTATGTAACAACAACGCTGAATATATAGTGCTTCATACCAAAGGTTCAAAACCTACATTGCACACTTACAGGTACGTGTAGGTCTAATAATTTGTTGTTTGAGGGGTCAGGCAATATTTCTTAACTCCATGAAACTAAATGTAGTCCTATGCCAAAATTCTACACACGAGTCAATTTAGAAAAGGGTTGATGACTTGATATTTGCCCAAAAATTAACCCCTTCGCGCCGGGAGGCGGCTAGACACGCCTTAAAAATTGAGATCCCTCAGCCCGCTTTTCAGCTATTATTCTCAGCCACTCGAGTGAACACGGTGAAACAAGGCAGACCCTGGCTCTTGTATATATGGTAATTGGTCTTTCTGTGTAGCCCAGAAATTAAAATACCTAATTTGCATCATAATCACCAGCTTCACAATAGTCCCCACTTTGAAAAGAGGCAACGGAAATGTAGAAGTGTGGGTAGAGCCGCATGCCACCGGACAATCAGCCTTTTCACAATGTAATTCAAAGCGTGCTAAGCAAGCAGGGCCACAAACCGAGAATTTGCAGTTTGGCAGGTGGCCTTCGTAGCCAAGCGAGGCTGGAATTCTTGGAGTCGGCTTTCCGGAAGAAATTCCCGTTGTCAAGGGGTTAAGGACTCTAAACCCATAACAATCCCCAAGCTTATGGCTACGAAAACATGCAAATTAGGAAAAGAAGCTGACACCTGTCAGACACTCGTTTATTACCTCATCATTTAAGTGTATACCAAGTGGATTGTCATGTCTGGTACCTTGTCTCTATTTTTACACTTTCTGTCTGGATATGTCACCAGACTAATGAATGGTCAATCTTTTTCAAAGTTTTGTCTCGGACTTCAAATTAAAATCG